ACCGATAAAAGCCAATACATTGGTGGAGCTGGATGGAGCAAGTTAATAGTAAATATCTCCACCCCATTTTTAAAAACTGGTTAGTTTTTTCGCCCAGCAACCTACATACCATTCGAAAAGAGAAAAGGGGATTCGACCTAGACCGTCGACTTCTTTCTAGTCTTCCTCTACCGAGAGATACACCGCATTTTATCTGAAAACATGGTCATTTTCAACAGCAGATTTCTGCCAAATGAAGACCTAATCACTGCTGAATATCTATCTGTGTTAAAGAGCAAGTCTTCATTAACAAACGTATACCGTCGAATTTCTCGTAGCATTCATTTGGAGAACAGAAAGTGAGGACACAATATCAGTTAATTTTTGAAGCACATAAAATCCCTCATATCTCGCGGCACAGAAGACCTAGAAAAAAGTCGACGGTGTACGTCGATTCTCCATGATCTCAGCTTTCGAACGGTTCAAAGCATGTTAGGGCTCTTTTTTGCTTCCCGGCTCTAAAAATCATTTGCACCGGTGACCCATAAAAGCCAATACATTTTATAGGTCGTCCCGAAAGTTTTTGCGCACGATTTTTAAAAATTCATAACTGATTTTTCCAACCGATTTGACTGCTTTCACTTTTATGTGAAAGGGTAAGTCATGCTCTTCATAATGACAAGCTGCTTAGTAATGATCATCTCTTGCATAGATAGGAGCGATAGAAGAAAATTGGTCAAAATTTGACTTTTCTGTGTAGGGTCATAAAAAATCGGAGACTTGCAACAAAAATCGGAGCAGTCAGTATTGTAGGTTCTTTCACCAGCTCTTTCTAACAGTGCAAAGTTTGCGCCGATTAAGCGTCTCTATGAAAAGTTATGATTTTCGAGCAAGCAATACAAAAGGGCGAATTTGGTTTATTTTGGTTTTTCAGTAAAATCATAACTTTTCATAGAGACGCTTAATCGGCGCAAACTTTGCACTGTTAGAAAGAGCTGGTGAAAGAACCTACAATACTGACTGCTCCGATTTTTGTTGCAAGTCTCCGATTTTTTATGACCCTACACAGAAAAGTCAAATTTTGACCGATTTTCTTCTATCGCTCCTATCTACGCAACAGATGACCACTCTAAGCAGCTGAGATGTCATTATAAAGAGCATGACTTACCTTTTCACATAAAAGTGAAAGCAGTCAAATCGGTTGGAAAAATCAGAGATTATGAATTTCTGGAAATCGTGCGCAAAAACTTTCGGGACGACCTAATTAGAGCGAGGTGGAGCAAGTTGATAGTAAAAAATGTGCTGTGGATTGACATCGTTATCAGCACTAACGGGAACGTGAGCGAACGCGTCTATTTAAGCGCGCTTATCGTTGTTATATGTTCATGTTTTTTGGTAAAAAATGCGCTTTTGGTTGACAGTTATGCCATCATTATTAGCACACACTCAAAAAACTATGGGAGATTGGTGAATTTTCACACCTTCACACAAAAACCGTCCAACTCTGGAATCTATACTCTGTAAACCTAATGCTGAAGAAGGTCACTTTCGTGAAAACGCTCTAGACTCACCTTACCCAATTTGTAAAGAATGGTTGGTTTCAATGAATCGAAAACTTTAAGACATTCAGAAGAATAACATGTTATTAAAATAGCCCTCAATGTTTTGGAAAGGTTGGCAGTTTGAAGAGGAAACGGCAGGCAGAATACTTTACAAAATCGCAGATGACTCGCATGTGTTTCAGATTCACAGCGAGGCAGAAGGAGAATTTTACTCCGACGAAAATGTTGTCGACATTGATACATAGTTGACGATTGAGCGAAACACTCTGATTTCCTACATAAGGAATCCAGATTGCCTAGTTTCAATGAGGAAATGTCCAGGAAGTCCATTGCTGATCTTCAGGTTGTTGAAGATTTCAAGGCTGCTAAATTCACAAACATGGATATGAACAAAAGGAAGGTGTTAGTACGAAGCATAGCTACTGCCCTTAGATCCCGACTGGAGTGCGAACCCAACTCTGTGCTTTATGCTTTTGGAAGTTATTCGCCTTGTATGACCTATGATATTGAAAAAAAAACAATGCGCAGCATAGTAACTACTTTTTTCGGCTATTCCGCAGATGCTGTTAAAGAAGAAGTCGAGCAGCTTTCTCATCAGCTAACAGGACGTATGCCAGAGGAGGTGAAGCCAAAGTTCGACAAGGCTAAAAAAAGTATGCACTATTTCCTTCCCGTGTTGCGAAAGCATATGCTATCTGGCTCTTTTCCCATTACTTACCGCAAAAATCTGATGGACTTACTGGGAAAGCTAATTTCCATTCCGATTAGCACGGCAGAGGTGGAGAAAGAAATTTTCTATCTACTCTGTTATCAGAATACAACGCAGAAGTCGTACAATGATGGAGCATCTAAGCAATTACTTAAGGTTTGCCATCCTTCTACTAAACTTATTGTTATCTAAAAACTTCATTTAAAGGATTGGTATAAGTGGTCCAGAAGGCTGTTACCGTATGACTTTTTGAAATTTCCTAAAAGATGGTATGAAGAAACTGGTCACGTACCTGCTGACTTTCCTGGTGCTACTAGAGGGCCAGGAAAAAAACACAAAGGCGCTTAGAAGAAGAAGAAAGTTTCAAATCCATTTTCGACTCAGAACGCTTTTGCACGCAATTCTATTAGGTTGGAAACTAAGTTTTGCAACTGGTCTCATAACTTCCCTCTCACTTAACATGGCGCAATCAAATTTTGCCACTGCGTTGGTTAGCGCATGCTGTCCTACCAAATTCTGACGTCGCAGTGAGGGTTACGGTAGGTGTATGGTATGAAGGGGAAAAATTCAAAGTTTGACGGATTTGGCTGAGACTTGGCATAGGGGTGTTATCCGACATGCTGATCGCGAAAATGATAGTGAAATTGCGTGATAAAAGCTTTTTTGTGGGATTATTGTAGGTGTACGATATGGAGTCTCACCCTAAACAAGGAAAAAGGCGTTGATTCAACAATTGAATGTGATAATCGCGTTTGGTAGGTCAAATAAACTTACTATGTAAAGTCTCGGCGGAATTTGTGCTTCGGACTCTTTAGTCATTGACGGTCGTCCCCAGCAGCTCTTGCGTACATCGACTCGTTCGATTTTATGAGGACGCCAAATCTCGACATGTCCCTAAATTTTGTTTCTTTCTTAATAGGCCAAAGAAGTCAATCCCCAGCAATAATTTGTAGACGAATCCGGATTGCTGCTCATGGTTTAGGCTGCCAAAGATTTCATTTTGGTTTAAAACCCCAAAAATTTTCAAATTTCATTAGTTTTCGAAAAACGCCTGTAACTTTTCTGTTTCGTGTTCAAAATTTAGTCAATTTGTGCTCACTTGTAGCCCACATTGCCTTCTATATAATGCCAGAGTTTTAGTGCGCCATATCCAAAGAGAGTGAAGTTATGAAACCAGTTGCAAAACTTAGTTTCCAGCCTAATACTTCTACTTCGATAACCTTTTGGAGGAAGAAGAAGGAAGAAGAAGACTTTCAGGCAGCGAACTTGTTGTCTCTGACGTTAGCGATAGTGATATTGTTGATGATGATGTGCAGGAATTGAAGTTGTTCCTAACTTGTACATCTTTTGGGATAAACCTTATTGCTTTCGTTTTTCGTTGATGCAATGAAACAGGAGCACAGATCTTCATAAAGTCAATTTTTTTAAAAATTAATTTTTTTTTAATTTTTCAATTTTTTTTCAATTTGTGCCTAAATAAGGTACAAATTAGAGCTCTTCATACCACGCTTTTTTACCTTCTCTCTATTCCCCCCCCCTAGACTCACATACCCCCTTCACCCTGGAAGGTCGGGAACAGCGAGACCCTCTTCACCTGGAAAGAGTCTGGGGTCCCCTATCCACCTATGATGATGATGATGAGAGTTATATATACGACCCAGAGGATAAACAACAAATCATATCAAATGCAGGACCACCTTATGATCTGACTAGCTGGCTTACCCGGCTCCGCCGTATGTTCCAAATAGAAAATTCCATTCCTTAACCGATCCGGACCAAACTTGGCACACATACACTTCGGGCCGCGGCGGGTGTCACAGTCCACTTTTCGTTATCGATCGATGTCGATTTTATCAATTTTTTGCAAAATTTGAGCTACGGGGCTGGAATTTGGCAGAGGGGTGTAATCGAGCATGCTGATCACCCCCACGGGGGTGATCAGCATGCTCGATTACCCCCCCCCCTGTGCCAACTCCCAGCCCCGTAGCTCAAATTTTGCAAAAAATCGATAAAATCGATATCGATCGATAACGAAAAGTAGCCTATGACACCCGCCCGGTCCCGAAGTGTATGTGTGCAAAGTTTGGTCCGGATCGGTTCAGAAATGGAATTTTCTATTCGGAACATACGTACACACAGACATACAGACATACAGACATACAGACATACAGACAGACAAACAGACATTCAGCTTTATATGTAAGATAAGTAAGCAATGAAAAATTAAGAGGCAGCCGAATTGCCTTTTATGGTCGCGTTAGTTATATACTGTAGCTAAGGTCAGCGCCGGATTCCGACGGATAATGGTTTGTATTATTGACGCCCCAGCGTTGCCGCGTCTGCAGGGACACTATGTTAAGCAGGAAATCTACTCGACTGTACCTCCCGCAATTCCAGTCGCGGCGCAATTCTCAACTTGGACATATGTTACGAATAACAAAGTCGCGGCCGCGCCCGAAGATATAGCGGCTTCGTCATGCAGCAGCCTATACAACGGTGAAGATACAGTCTGCTCCAAATGAGATCAGGCCGAACCGTCGGCGTAAATTTGCGCGCTCGCAGCGCTAGCGGTCTGCGCTGCATATGCGCGCTGTCGGAGAGAGCAAAAGGACTGCAGAGAGAGAGAAAGAGCAGAGAAGCAGGCCGTGGGCGTGACCGCGAAACCCTAGCGACGCGGACTCCCGCCATGCCAATTTTGGCCTGGTTGGGATTGGGCCAGATTGTACGCACTCCCGCGTTGGCACCCCCTCACTAATGCTGTTTCTGACATTTCGTCCGGCAGTGCCTTTACTGTTAAAGTATCCATAAAGAAGTTACATTCTTAAAAGAAGGAGGTATGTTCCACATGTTTAAAAGTGAGGTGAGGGTGGAATTTTTGTAAAGCGCTTTTCAGCATTATGTGTAAACATCAAGGTTTGTTGAATTGTTATGCTGTTAACGTCGAACACCAGCTGCTTGGCTTTCAGAAATTTCTATGACTAAAATCGTTTACTTCTTCTTAACTTTCTAGCTACTTTATTGTCTCTTGAGGAAACATTAGATATTTCCGGGAAATAATGTCGCATCGCGGTTTATCATGCAATATCACAGTAGCGTGCGCACGAAAGTAAGCAAGTGGGCTATCAACCGATAGAGCAGAGCAAGCTCTACAAAATGAAGCTCGAACTTTCGCGCCAGGTCTGATTCGTGAAGTTTGGAGCCAAATTTCAAAAGGCATCAAAGACCTAAAAAAAACGGAAAATTTCTGGGGTGACGGACTCAGAAAAGCCGTGGGAACCTCTAACTTGCTCACGCATGGACTCGAGACACGAGACAATCGCTTGAGCTTCTCTCACATGGACGAATCTGTAGTATGAAGCTTTAGGAGTATCAATGAATTCTCAGCTTTAGACAAGCGCTACTTTTCGAGAAAAATCAAATTGTTTGCAAAAATCCCGAAAACGTGACATAATCGCACTTTTGACCTATTTTTGTTGGTCGTACTGTAGCCATGGAAAAATACCACAAACTGTACACGTGTATGTCTCATGTGGAGAGTATATGTCTGTGCAATTTGGAGATCCCTATGACGTCTACGAACGAAGATACGTTTTTTGAGTATTTAAAATTTTTTATATTTTGGATTCGAACTTCAGGTGGAGCAAGATTTCCGCGGAGGTTTGTAAATACCTTGTAGAGCTTGCTTTGCTCTATCAAATGATACCCCATTCGCTGTTTTTTTTGTGGTCGTTCTTTCGCGGTAGGATGCCATGCGACTTTATTTTCCGGACAACCTAATGATTAATTTTCGCTCTCTTCATGTGTATCTAACTGGTTTTGTTTCTCCTCAAATAAAACAATCTTTCACGTGAGATCCATTTATCAAAACATGATGATCTATCTCATTTGTGATATAAAGGCCACAACAGCTGACTTCACAATAGAACAAATCTAATTGTAAGACGTTGCATTCTTGCAATTTTTTGAGTTCACGTGACACTTAGCTTATTTAGTGCTCTTTGCCCTAAATTGTTGTGCAAACAAGCGCAATTTCAGGAAAACGCTTTGGAAAAACTGTTTGTGCCAAGCTGCAGAACTATGCTAAATCTGCATTTGAAATCTGCTAAAGGCTGCTAAATGTGATAAGCTAATAATTTCTGGCTATGTTTTGATGGATTGCCTTACAAACTTGTTGGCAAATTTTACTCTTATTTTGGGTTCTGAGAGTGGATATCACGATCATCAGGCATCAAAAAGCACAACTTTTTTGTAGCATTAGTATCCCAACCACAGTTTTCATAGTAATTTTTAGCAATTCCAATTTCAAGTAGTTTTTTGAGCTGCGTTCAAGATGAGATATTGTAAACTTTTAGGATTGAACTATCTCACAAGGGAGGGCCGATTAGTCCAAGTGGTTTATCCAAATGAGTCCTATATTACTTTGAAGGGCATCAAACGGTAATTCTAAATTTGATTTCATTATTTGCCGAGCGCATTTGCATGCCGAGTTACGAATATTTTCTTGGGCGAGCAATGAACGCGTAATCTAGGTAATATCAAATTTTACTGTCTTTTCAGCGCTCAAGTAGAGCGCTGTTAAATATGAGTCTTTTGAACAGTGGGTATGTTTCAAATGGAGTGCTTTAAAAACCAACTTTGGACCATTTGAGCAGTTCTGACGGATTTTGTTCTAATTATGCATTCAACTTTTCTTTAAAAAAACGCCCATAACTCGACATACAGAGGAGCTCGGCAGATAAAGAAGACAGATTTGGAATCAGCGATGCTCTTTATAGTCTTACCAATTTCATGTGAAAAGGCCACTTCGACTAAGCAGACCTCCCTTGTCAGTATCAACTTTTTCGCGCAATTGACCCCATGTATCTGTTATTTATTATTCTTATTGTTAGCCAATAGAATCTTTTCAGCCACGGGTACGAACAGGAGCTCTTTTTCGGTGATCTGATTTCCTGACACATTTTGGTGATCTTTTCTTGACAATGTTTCCTTTGATAAGGTATAGAAGAGAACAGGTGTACATCTACTGTACAAAAACAGCAGACAGTTCGCATTCCCTATCTGCTGATCGAAGATCACCAAAGCCGTATGCACCACGCGCACATCATAGCCAGCCATTTTATTTTATCACTTGGTTAGTCATTAATTGCTAAAGTTCGTTGTTCGTGTCAGAAATGTACGTGCATTTATTTTCCACTAAACAAACAAAAAACCGATCTACGACTCCGTTGATGGATGCATTATTCATTCTATGACTAGGGGACGCGAGACCGCATTGCACAAATTGTCTAAACAAGCCCAATCGTGTACTTAGCAGGTTTATACTTGTCCAAGTTTATCCACTCTTTCGAAACAAGGAAGAACAGACTCAAACCTGTTAAGACAATGTCCGCATTGAGGTCTCGCATCTCCTAGTCATAGAATAGATGATGATAACGTTGTTGTAATCTGTGGAGTTTTTATTCAATGTTCAATGTCTTCTTAATCAGATATTGTCCGAATTTATTATTTTTTTGCTTGCTTATGTATCAATTCCCAAAATTTTGAAGTTCTTCATAGTCATTGTTGCTGAAACTCAGAGCATTTTATTTACAAGCTCTCAAGAATGCCAAGACTTGTAAAAGCATCATCCGTATGACATGCTCAAACTGCTTACAAATGGTAAAAAATCTGGGATGAGGTACCTGGAGAAAAGTTGAATGTTCCTCGACACGTGTACATACTTCCCAACATTATCCGCTGTTTAGCGCAAACAAACCCACACCATCGCAGTAGTCGTAATCACGTCCGTCTTCTACAGCATACAATGTCATAACTCGCTTGTCATGAAGTTTTTGAAGACGCTTTAGGTATAATTTTGTAGAGCTGACTTCATCTTAGATTTGCAGAATGGATCGAACCACCGATCGCTCCTCATTACTGTAGAATTACGGTAGGAACTTTAAAGAGGGCTTAAGCGACGGAGGGTCATATTTTGGTTCAGAAAGGAAACAAAACGACCTAAAAAATCTCACACCAGGCTGATTAAAGTTGTTTATTCTTAATTTGAATTCTGCATTACATTATAATGCTTCCTTGAAAAGTCACGCTAGGTAAGTAACAGCGATTTTTTCGATGCTGCTTAAAAATGGTTACACCATTTAAAAAGCTTTACATTTTGTACGGATTTGAAGAAGTTTTTCAAAATGGCAGCTTTTTCACAATGACGCCATATGTCGAAAATTCTTACCGTAATTTTACGGTAATGAAGAGAGGCATAGGCGATTCATAGCATGCAGAGACTGCGGACGTATCGGCGTCTCTCTGATCGAGCGCTCTTTCGTTTCTCTTACCATCTGCTGCCTCTCCCATGCACACTATCTCGGCCGGACGCAAGGGCGCTCAGTCTTTGCGGGTCATGAATCGCGTATATATGTGATTCGCTCCGTGATATAAATCAAAGTTTAGCCAGCTCTACGATACCTAGAGGTTCTCAAAAGACTTCATTACAAGATATTGACAGTTAATAGGACATTCTTTTTGAAACACCCTGTATATTCGATTATTGCTGTGATTATTTGAATATTTATAATATAAGTCGATAGAATAAGCTATACATGTCTCTACGGTAAAAACTGCAGTGTTGATGCTATTGTTTGGCTGTTTGTGTTATCAGTGGAACATCATCTGAGTGTTCGTTGCCCTTCACTATTGACCAGTGATCACCAAACGAGTCTGCCCCATCGGTGCACGTCATATCACGTCGTTCCGATAGTGATCTTCGTCATTAGTTCTAATACATCTATTATGATATCTTCATCATCTCTGTCAAATCGGTGTGAAAGCTGTAGTCATCATTGTCATTCATAGAACAATCTAATTTGAACCTAGTTCCCGTGGAATCCGCGTCATTATCTCGTCATGAGATACTTGACTGATAGCGGGGCAATAAATCGAGTTCTTTGCGCATGAGCGTAGCGATCTAGGCGGGGGTTGAGAAAGTCACATGCCAGTCTGTGAGCTGTTTGTTTTGCCCCGCTTACGTCTGGAATTGCCTGTTCTTCGTAGCAACTTCTCTCACAAGAGATTTCTCATCACTTCCTCATTGCTCAAATAATACTGGTATGAAGACGCCCAACCTTCGCCATATTTTTGTATTCCTGGATTGACTTTCTCCTAGCATTATTACCTAAACTTCAAATTCTTGTGTAACCAGAAATTCAACTCAAAGTCATCAAACAAAAATATCTCGATCGGTTCTACTTGAAATTATTAGGTTGTCCCGAAAGTTTTGTCCGTTTTTTTCATCGCTCATAAAAACTCACAGAACACCAATCTGGACTACTGAAGTACCATTTAATTTAGACTTACATTTTCTTTCTTACAGCTAAAATTGCTATGTGATCTACACTTTCTTTGCAATGTTATCGCCATGGCTCTTCGAGCAGCTCAGCAGTAACAACAAATTTTTCCTGAATTTTAAAAATTTTTATCCTGATTTTTTTGAAAAGGGCTGGTAAATGTAACGTAGGAACCTTTAGCTACATTGCGACCATTTTAGATTACATGGGCAACGTTTACCAAATCCGTTATAATTTTTTTCAATAAATACAGCGGGTTATTGATTAGGTTTACCACGTAAAAGTACCGAAAATTCCAAAAAGCTGCTTTTTTGAAACAAATCAAACTTGGTTATTATATAATGTTTGATAAGAATCATGTTTCAACTAGCAGAAACTGCAAAAGCTTTCGTACATTTGCTGCAGTTGCGTGTTTCATGACTTTGCCAAAATTCGAAGAAATAATTTTTTGAAGCTAAAAACAGCAGATTAGAAGAATCTAAAAAATATCACTTCGT